TTTGATTTTAAATTTTTGTTGTACATATATACCAATGCAATTTCTTGGTCCATGTCCAAAAGGTAAAAAATGCATAGGATGTCTTTGTTTTATCTCATCCTCTGAAAATCTTTCAGGATCAAATTTTTCTGGATCTGGATAAATATCTGGATCGTTATGAATGGCGTAAGTGGGTATCCATATTTTTAATCCTTTTGGAATTGTCACTTTATTACTTTCGAAAGTATAATCGTCAATTAATTCTCTATTCAAAAATGGCACAGATGGATATTTTCTTAAAGTTTCTATAAGAAGAAAAATTAAAAAATGTAAGAATTATTTCAATCAAAATATTAATATTTTATTGAGATATTTTGAAGAATTGATTTAGTAATCAATATATACAAAGTTGATGTATAAAAATGTTGATGTGAATGAATGTTGTTGATCAGATTTATTTATTAAACAATTTATGTTTGCATTAGATAATGCAAGATAAAGAATATAAAAATTTTTATGTTTTGTTTCATCTTTATCGATTTTGCAAAGCTTCTTGTTCCACATTAACATGAACGTTTTAATTCTTAGATAGTGAAATGTAAATAAAGATTTCAAATATACATATATATCAACAAATTAAAATTTGAACATTCATTTGGAAAAATAAAAAAATTACATTTGAAAAAACTTGCGGTATTTACCTTGAATTACTTTTTCCAAATAATCCATTTTTTTAATGGTTTCATATTTCCATTCTTCATCGTTTTTCGATTCAAATTCTTTAATCTCCTCTCGTAATTTATGCTGAATATCAGGATTCAAAGCGAGTTCGTAAAGAGCATTGCTCATCAATGTTGAAGAAGTTTCAAAACCAGCCGTGAAAAAAATAAATACTTGAGCCGCTAATAATTCATTTGTTATATCTATAAAAATAGAAAATGGATAGCATATTAATTTTTGTATGTAGTATGCAGTAATATGTTTCCAAGAAAATAAAAACCTATTATTTTATTATATAAAAATGTTACCATTCAAATTTAATTTTAAAATTATCATATTAGCAGTTAGTTCAAAATATTAATAATTATATAAAATATTAATAATTATATAAAAAAGTATAAAATATTAATAATTATTTTCTAAGAAACAATTGAAATTAATGATCATTTTATCTCTCTTTTTTTTTGATATTTAACTATAGCAACATTAAGTTTAACATAATAACGTAACTTTTTTAACAGTAAATATTAAAAGAAGAAAGAATATCGATAAATTGTGAATATTTTGTTTATAAATTCTACATTATTTTTGTATAGAAAATCTATACTAACCGAAATTAATTTTTTCTGGATGATTCTTAAGTTCTAATATTATATTCATAAAATCAGGTCTAAAGATATCATACTTTTTTCTATATTCTATTGTCTCCTTCGTTAGTTTCAGAATTTTTGGCGATATTCTATCTAATGGCAATATATAAAGAAGAAAATTGTACACCTGTGGCGTCAATTCTCTGATTCTATCTATTATTATTTTCTGGAAACTTGTGTTAAAGATACTTTTTCCAAGTCGCCGAAATTCGCTTTCTTTTTCTGACAATGAATTCATTTCTACGCCAAAACCACAGCTACCAACGACATCTGTGGTAAATCTAGCGGCAACTTCTCGCACATTGACAGGTTCTTCTTTCCTTACTAAGGTATCCATATAGTTTACGAGTTGCTTAGAACATTCGTGAATCAAGTAGAACATTCCTTTAAGTTTGTTACTTGTAAATCCTGATGTAAGATGTTTTCTTAATGGCTGCCATCTTTTTGCCTCTAAAGCAAAAAGATGATGGGATATTGGTTCTCCCTGAAACATTGAACACATTAAAAAATCCAAACATTATTTATTTAGAATATTTTTTTTATAGTATGTTATATCTTCAATAATTATTCATTATTTATTCACTTTGTTATTTTTATTTAGAAATAAAAAATATGTATAACATTCTTCGTTTAGAATATAGAATTGTTATAAAAATTGAAAACATATCAATTAAACATATCAATGAAAATGAAAATTTATTATAAGATAATATTAAAATATGCTTATAGATAAAGAAAAAATATTCTCATATAGATAAAGATTAATTAGATTAGATTTCATTTTCAATTTACTTCCTTTTTTTCTTTTTCTTTTATCTATTTACTTGAATAAAATAAATACAAACATAGCACAAATTGTAAAAGAGAATAAATATCACTTTATTTATTTATTATTATTTTGATTATTTTATTATTATCATTATATACAGTATTATTTTTCTACTTACTGAGATAATTGGCAATAATCCTCTATTCATGAATTTTGAAAAGTCTTTAATTAAGACAGTTTTTATGAGATCTGGATCTTTGATGATCAAAGCAGGTGTTTTTAGTCTAAATATTCCAATCATTGGTTCGTTCTTATATTCGTTGTACATCCTTGTGAGAAATTGTGAAATCGATTCCTTTCCAAATATTACATTTTTCATACTGCCGAATCCCAAAATGGGTTCTGGTCCAGGTATTCCACGATTTTTCCAAAAATTATTATTAACTGTTAAATAGTAGTAAAACGTAATAGCAATAAGCGCTATTCCACAAAAAATTTCTAAATTAATATACATTTTTTAGATTTTGTATATTATGTAATAGGAAGAATTAATTCGCTATCTTCTATAAATTGGCAATAACGTTTAATCAAATATCACTTAATTTAAATAATTTTATTCAATTTTATTATATAATATTTTAAACAACGTGTCATAATCAGATATTTGATATTTTTGATTAAAAAACAAGAGAATTTCTTATTATTTTTTGTAATTTAAATCATGATTATGAAATTAACTTTTAAGAATTTTTTATTTTCTTCTATTAATTATTTTATGAATTTTATTTGAGAGCACATTAAAACTATGATTACTTCTTTATATCTGTTTAAATAAGAACTATCGAAACAATGTGTGATTAGTGACTAGTTAATAACCTACGAATATGGTTTATGTACTATATACGAAGGATGACGAGCCAAAATTATTATCTTTAATGTTTTTAACTTATTGCGATAAAATACGTGTAAATGTAAATTTTGATTTTTGGATGGAAGGTATTAAAATGAAAATAAAATATATTATAATTATATTATCATATTTTGTGAATTCATTATGTGACTAATTTTAATAATTTTGAATTATGTTATAAAAAAAAGTTTCTATTTGATACGTATATTTACGCGTATTTATATTTAACGTTTTTGCTGGTTATTTTAATTTTCATTCATTCAAACAATATTTTTTATGATTTTTCGTGTTACAAATTCAAATAAATTTTGTTTATTTATCGATAAATTACGTAATAAATATTTCTTATAAATTCTTTTAATATTTTTCTAATAAAATATATGTATGTATGTAGAATATATTCGAATTTGTGTATGTTAATTATATGCATGTGATAAGTTAATTATATCTTTTACATGATAATAATAACCTCACGTGATAGCGAATTATGATAATTGTTATGATAATTCATAGTATTCATAGTGTTTGTAAGGTATACAATTTTTATCAAATATTATCAAATGTTATCAAATATTATCATTCAGATATAACGGATAATTTCGCTGACAACTTTACAACTTTATTTTTTATTAAAGATACTTTTTATTAAAGAACATGATGTTAAAAATATCAAATCGTAGACGTAGATTCATGAATTTCAGAGCCAAGATGAATTATCATTTTTTTTTTTTTT